GCAATATGATGATCGGAACATTAATTAAACTGTGAACTATCTTCTCAGGGACTAACAGAAAAAGAAGAGATGGCTCGGAGATGTCATAGATTCATGGCGCATAAAAAGTCAGCGACAGAGTAAGATTACAGTGAGGACTCGTAGAAGAACGGAGGGTTATTAAAAGTTGATCCTTTATGATTTCAACAACTGCGCCCTTGTTTTCAAAAGACTGAGACTTTGAACACTGTGTTTGTTGTTTTGTTGTTGTTGTTGTTGTTTTGTTTGTATGGAACGTCTAGGACAGGATCTAAGGACCCTCGGGGGTCCCTGGACCTGAGTTTGGACATCACAGCTCTAAACCACACTGCTGCTGCTGAATTCACTTCAGAGTTAGAAGTCTGTTCTAGAAGTGATGGGGTCTGGTCACTCCTGTTCTTGATGATTTGGCGCCCTCTGGTGTCCTGAAACAAACAGTACTCTATATTGTGTATTGTTTTAGTGGTTGTAGTAGTTTGACAGTATTTATCATTTATCCACACAAAGAAAAACATAAACCCTTTATTCAGATTCTTAATAAAAAGACAGAGAGGGATTAAAGTGATGGAAAAGGTTCAGGCTGAAGATGACACCTGAGTGTTATTCATCTCCATCATTAGAAAGAACAGGAGTGCATCGTAGTATTATTATTATTATCACATTTGGTGGGGAGTGGTCTTTATAATGATGTGGTCTGCTGGGGGGCAAGATGCCGGACAGAGACTCGACAACTCGACTCAACTACAAACTGATGCAGCATTCTGTCGTGAGCTAAAATGTTCAAGGATCAAGAAATCAGGCTAGAATCAGCTTTTCAAAATAAAGTAGGCCTCCATCGTATGAACATGTTTAAAACTTGAATGGTTAATTAGATGTCCTGCTTTTATTTTCTTCAGGTTTTTAAAGAGTAAGGAACCTGCATTAGTATCTCTATAATGTGTATTATATTGTCCCTAATATGGTGCAGTGTTTGTATTTACTGTGTAAGGCCTCCTGAAATGAAACTGATCATTTAAAAAACAGATTTATTGTATATTTTACATGATTTCGTTTGTAATAGTGTGTACAGAGCAGGATATTCTTATTGTTTTCCACAGTGTTTATAGCATTTTATTACGTAGTTGATGTACTTGGTGTTGTCAGGTGTGCTCCTTTACGGTCCTCTGTTGAGCGGAGTTTTAATGTTTGTCTTGCGTCACTTTTACATCACGACATCAGCAAATTAATAACTCAATAAATCTGGTGCAGCCATCTTTTTCTTTTTCTTTGTATGAACGATTAAATTCTATTACACCTTCTCCTGATAAATAACATTTAGAAATAACGCTTCATAAAAACAACACTTTTGTATTTAAATATCCTTTTTTAAATGAAAAAGGGTTAGGGTTAGGGTAACCCTAAATAATTAATGACACATTTAAATAATCATTTAATTATTTATTAACACATGCATTTAATTAATTAAATAATTACATATTTATTTTTATATTTTGTGGATTTATTTCCAATATTAAATAATTGATGACACATTTAATGATTTAATTAACTCAATTCATTTTGGCACTTTTAATCCTCCATAGTTTCTAACAGTGTTCAGAGCTGTAATGGAGAGGTTACAGACGTTTACATAAACTCTGAGTTATCAGCTGATTTAGAATAACACAAAGTCACCTGGATGATATTCAAACCTTTTGTATTCACACCTGAGTGTAAATAATGATGAGTGGGGCGAGACGACGTGTTATATTCTTTTTATTTTGACATTTATTTTTCAGGAAGAGGATTTGGTGTAGTGTTCCTTCGTTTAGAGACATTTTCACCAACATATTTATGATGTGACAGTTGAAACGTTGTTAATACGTTAGTGAATGAATGTGTGAAGAATCTGTGAACACACTTCTCTTCTGCTTTAAAGCAGGAACATGACACTTTAATCCTCTCTAGTTTCAGTCCAAACACACACAGCTCTTCTTTTACCCTCCTTTGTCCTTTGGAAATGAAACCCCGATACTAAATTGTGTTTTTTAAATAGTTTGAAGTACAAAAAGCTTCACAATCACGTTTAATCTCACTGCTTCCAGTGTTTTCAAATCTACCGCCGAAACATTCTCAGAGTTTGTTTTCACCCAAACGGGGGCGTGGTCACTCTGACGAGCCGGAAGTGACGTTCGGCTGCTCTTATGAATTGACGCGCTTGCCAGCTTCGCTCCTGAGTGTAAGAATTCGAAATAAGACAGTCCAATATCTTCTTCGTTTAGGAATATTTATTTCTCATTCCATCGTTGTCTTGATTAATGTCACATGTGAGCTGTTCAAACAATAATCCAGACATTTACATTCACTCCTGTTCCCTCATAGCGTGGCGTACAGCGGTCAAAAAACTGTAATTGCTCCCGGTCTAGCAACACCTGTGCACCGGATGTCCGGCGCCGCTCCTTATTATCTCAATTCGAAAACGAAACTAAAGTTGAGTTTCTGACGCAGACAGAAGAAGAGTCGTTAAAAACACAAACGACTCAAAGTCAGAATCAACAACAATGGAGTGTGCTCTTCTCTTTTCTCTCTGTCTCCTTTGGTCGGTATCAACGTTTGATGATGTTAACGGTAAGAAAGAACAATAAGAGCTCCTTTTTCTTGTGGTTGTTTTGTCTGCTTCCTGTAGCCGAGCTGATCGAAATCATACGATGTTAAACGAGGAGCAGTAATAATGTCGACGGACATGTTTAAACACTAATAAGTGAAAACTTGTGAATACCTAGTTATTTATTGACTGTTGGTGACATGGAGCGAGGCCTTGTTCCTCCTTCCTGAATGACGGACAGTTATGCTGCGTTCAAGTGCTGCTCGTTATTTCGAGTTGCGAAGTCGTTTTTCAAACTTCAGTGTGTTCCCGGGATTTCAGTTTGGAAAGTCTGAGTGTTTTAACATCAGTCGAGCTAAACAATAGTCTCTCCCTGCATCTCACTCCTCTTAAATACTGTCTCCTCGGTCCTCGGTCGAACCGGAAGTAGTTGTAGACCCGCCATGTTAAGGAACGTCCCACAGCTCTGGGGTGTGTTCGAATTGTCCCTCCTATCTCCTTTCACTATCCACTTCACCTTAACCCCGGGGAAAACGTCATGAGGTTAAGGAAAGATGTTAGGAGAAGTCATAAAGGACTTAGGGAAAGGAGATCTCGTTGCTCTGACAATCCGACCACATTTCCACTAGGTGACGTCATTAAATGCGACGGGCCGGCGGAGGTTAATGACGTGGGTCTGACGTGTTGAAACTACAATGTTCAGAAAATGGACTACAAAAAGATCATGTAAAAAACTTTCCCCTGTGCTTCTTACCGGTGAAATAATCCTGATCACCACGAGGTTGGGATTGAAATAAAAGAAATATAGACTACCAGGCTACAAGTAAGAAAAGTGAAACCATCAGCTTCCTGTCCAATCAGAAATCAACATCAACATCAATATGATTGGATGAAATGAATTGTTACATTAATGTAAGATATAACCTACACATAATGTTTTAAACATACAAATGTACAGCAGCACAAAACATTCTTAAGAGAATGAAATATGTTGAATCAAACATCATCTGATAAAAATGTCTCTTATCTTTTATCTCTTTCATGATCTGAGTCACTTTACGATCATCGTTAATGTTCCTGAACGGTCGGATGCTCGACTCGCTTTAAATGTTGAGGCCGCAAGGAATTGTGGGACGTCATATCTCATCTCCTTTCCTAAAGGATGGTCCAGTGTATCCTAAAGGAGGTTATAAAGGAAGCATTGACCCACCTTTCCTTAGATTTTAGAGAATTCAAACAGCTCTTATCATGGAAACCACTTAAAAAACACTTAAATGCTTCATTTCACTCAGTTAGGAACCTTCCTCAGAAAAAATGACGATTCCAACGCACCATAGTGTCTTGGATTACTTTGGTTCACCATCTTTTTTTATTTCTAAGCACCTTGCTGGCCAGGTGCTGCCTGTTTCCAAAACTTTGCTCCTGATGTTTCCTCCATGTCGTAAATTAGACGGCCCAGAGTTCAGTGACCTAACAAGTGGTACTTTGTTTTTAAAGGGACAGTAAATGAATGAACACACACAGTGGGGAAAGCTTTAACTGAAAAAATATACCTGCATAACCAACAAGACAAGATGACATCGTTTAGAGGTTCAGACACTCAGAGACGTCAGTCTGCATTTAGGTGGACAAAGACGAGAAAGCATGAAAGGTTTCTTTGATATAATATGTTGATGCTCCATTAATAAACTTTACTGGAACTGTTTTCAGGTTTTCTGCATGTAAACAAACTGATTCATCCTCGTGTTTCTGTCTCAGGTGGAGTGGTGGTGAAAGAAGACAGTGATGCTGTGTTACCGTGTTCCCCCAGAACCAAGGAGAACCTCGAGGCAAAGCTGTTTGACTGGACGAAAGACCGCAAGGAGGTGTTCATGTACGACGGAGGAGATTATTACGGTTACGGCATTTCAGGTCAAGACAAACAGTTTGAAGGTCGAGTCTCACATTTTGAATACGAGCTGAAGAACGGTAACGCCTCCATAAAGATCACAAGACGAAGGTGTCTGACAGTGGACTACACCTGTTTTCCTCGTCTGCGGCCGCCTCAAAGTTCCTCATTGAGCTGGTTGTTGGTGAGTATTTTTAAAATAACAGTTAAAAACATTTTTCCTGAGATGACTGGTTTAAGAGTCACTGATGAACTTTTTTTAAAGTAGTCAGAAATCACATGTTTGATATTTACTAAACAGTACAGGTTATATCACTCTGCACAAACACATTTATCATCTGATTGTCTTTATTACCAGCTCCATAATATTCCACACAAACATTTGTTGATGATATGCCCTATAAGCCATGCTAATAACATCACACAAGCACTCTAACCTTCATTTTTCTTTTTTCTTTCAGACTGTATCTTAAAGGACAGAACGAAGGAGGAGGAGCCAGGTGAGTCCTGATGACGTCATCCTCTGCCTATCACACACCTGATACCACTCACAAATATTGAAGATATATATGATTCACTTTATTGAACATTATCCTTCAGTTTGTGACGTAAAGACTCACAACACTTCAGTTAAAACTAAAGGAATCATAACTCATTAAATATGTTTCAGTTGAATTTATAATAATAAAATCATTTTTGTTAGTTGATATAACCACGTGTCCTCCACACCTAGCAGCTCTGATGAACGGGCTTCAGGTCAGGTGGTTTACAGGGTCCTTCAACATGTCATAGCCTGCTGGGACAAATAACGGGATCTTTTATTCACACATGTAGTTCACTTTATTTCCCTGTTTATTCCTCTTTTTATAAACATATTTAATCAGATATGTGTTGAACAAGAGAATCACATTTTATGTTTCTGCTGCTGTAAATAACCTGAATAATTTATTATTTATACTTTGTACACAGGTGCATGTTCAGAGCCATCTGTCACCATACTCGATGAATCAAAGGACTGGTCTCTGCTGCAGTGTGAAGTTAAAGGAGCTTCTCCTCGACTTGAAGTGGAGTGGAGGAACAGTTCTGGAAACATCCTTCATGCTGAAGAACCACAGGTCACAGAAAGAGGAGACAGCTACGACATCATCCTCAACACCACTGTGACCAAGACCGACCACTACAGCTGTGTGCTCACACAGAATGAGATCTGTCATCAGATTTCCTCTAAGATCTTTGTGTACATCCACGGTGAGATTCTTCCTTTCAGTGATTTATTGTGAATATAATTTTAAACATACTGTGTTCTGACTGAACTCTGAGTATTTTATCTCAAAGCAGTTTAAAAAAAGGATGAAGTCACGTTGACCCATCAGGTAAATGTTTCCACCTGAGAGAAAAATGTAAATCTAAACTGTGACTCTGTTTGATTTATTACCATTAATAGGAGAGATGATGAACAGGGACAGGTAATAAATAAACTATCACACATAAACAAAGTCCCAGTGAGCTGTAGTGAACATCTGTGTTGTCACTCTATCAGCTGATTGTGCTGAATAAACACAAATGATACAAACAGTCACAGGATGAAATGAGGCTGAGATTAATTTCATGTTCAGTCTGAATCTCTGTTGTTTTAAACATCAATGATTCTAAACTAACACTAAATGAGATGTTAATAATGTGCTGCTGAATTCTCAGTGTTACATTTTCTTATTGTTAAAGGATGATAAACATTGAGGAGTGCAGCATTAAACACATTCTATCTAAATGATATCTAGTTTATATTAAACCATAAAAAAATCACTTTTAACACCCGATAATATCTCAACGACTTCTTCCCCTCTGTGCATGGACTGAAGGTCAGACCTGATGAGTCTCCTCGTCTCATTCTACTTATTAGAGACAAAACTCACCTGACAAGTCCAGATCAACATCTGATTTCAAGATATGAAACACTGAAACAAAAGACCTGAAGTGCTTGTTAGGAGTAAAATATTGTCAAATAGAGAAAGCTAAATGTAGTTGTTGAGTGAATATAATATTTATAAGGCGAGACACTACAGGTGAATAGGGTAAAAACATTAACTCACAGATATCAACATGAAACTTCTCCAGTTTATTACTTATATCAAGGCAAATATTTTTAATATTACAAGTTTTCTGAAATGTTATGTTTAAATATGCAAATAAGGCATTATCTAATTAAATATGCGTTAATTTGCATACATTTCCAGCTGAGAAATCTGAACATTGGCTAAACCCAGGTTCAAGATTATCTTTTCATTTTGTTGACATATTAAAGACACAGGTATTTACAGAGGGGATTTTGGATATCTCTCTTTTTATCACTCCATAAATCAGAAAATACTATCAACAGACTTGAAAAATCGATTTTCGCCATGTTTTTATGAACAAACTGTTATATAAATCAGGCTATGAATGATATATCAACAAACCCCTCTGTAAATACCTTCAGAATACAGATAGGAATAAAACTGGAAAGTTTGGTGTATGTAAGTGCTACTGAAGTGGAGATTTCTGTCTCAGAGTATGAGAAAAAACTCATTTTGAGAAAACAGACATTAAAGATTTGTATTGTAAAATTCTATAAATTCTTATTGGAGATGACTATTTACAGACATACTGTCTTTTCTTTTACTCTTATTTTAGGGTATATTTTAGTATTAGTTGTGTATTTATATCAAATGTGTTTCCCCCTCTAAATTAATTTAGTTTTTTCAACAAACAACTTCAATCTACTTCATTTATCTGCGAACCTGCACAGACATAAACACAACGACGACCCCTCCCGTTTTGAAAAGTTTCACTCGATATTCTGTTATTTATAAGATTTCAGCACAGCATCAGCAGTAAGAAGATGATAGAGAGAGATATATATATATATATATATATATATATATATATAAAATTCTGTTATTTATAAGAGTTCAGCACCGCGACATCGTTCCTGGACTCATCTTGAAGTCGCGTATGTTTACACGCTCCTGCGGTACTCTCTCTCTCTCTCACACACACACACACACACACACACACACACGGCACTCGAGCAATAAACTGCTACAGAACCCATGATTCTGTGGATCTATATTTATTTTCAGCCCTGACCCGGCACAATTCGGACAAATTAAATCACAAAGCAGCTCATTCAATCGCGCAACATGAACAAGCAGCCACTGCTGTGTGGCATGCGCGTCCCTTTTATATCTAAATCTTGTTTAGTTGTTTTCTTTTCATTGATTTACACAAAGATATTTTCATTCATTCCTCAAAGGTCTCGCGGAAAGATAAACAAGGAAGTGTCAAAGCATACCACATGATGCGTCTGAACGAATCACGTTATCAGAAACCAAACACAAGCCAATGAGATTACGTTCTTGGCATTAAACCCCCCTCTGAACTTTCACGATTGGTTGCTGGTAGAAAGGAAGTGTCCTTATTTGGGTTACATAGCGTTGTGCAGGAGAGAGAGAGCTTAACAGAGATATCAGTCATGACGGGCAGCAGAGAACAGCTGTTATACTGCACGTCCCATTACAATGCTAACTTTCAGGAAAATTGATGAGAAATCTAATGCCGCGATCAGACAAAATGTATTAAAATATACACATAAATGTATGATTTGGATATTTTCTTTATGGTAGTTTGAAAGATTACATGTTTAGGGAGTGATCTAGCCCAAAATCTCAAAATTGACCAGTACATAAAAAATGGATGTTTTATCCTGCCGTGTCTCGCCTTAATAACTCATAATAAAAACATTTACAACCAGAATTTTATCAGGTTCTGAAAAGTCTGTGAGCTGATTTTCATGGATTAGAGGATATAATCAGTAGAATTCACCTGGAGCGAGTGCGAGGGGGTGGTGACGTTTATTCCTGCTGATGTTTCTCTTTATTACTGAGGTCGTCATTAAAGGGGATGTTGGACTGGACTAAACTAAAATGAGACGTTGATGTTTGTTATATTTTTCTCTCCCTGCTTCATGAAAGGTGAAAATCTGAAATACACCTGAATAAATTCAGTCCAACACAACACCTTCAGTCTCTCTGACCTCAGTTCTAAAACATAGAACTGTAATAAAAAGGTGATGACAGCGTGATAAAAGTAAACTTAGTGATGGATCAGCTGTCTCAGATTATACAGGTGAACTTAATAAAAGGACTGTTGAGTGTTTGAATCATCAACACAGCTGAGCTCTGATGTCACATCACTTTATATCCAGTGTTTCATGTTTAACCACACATTTAGAGAACTTTAGTTTGGATAGAAGATTTCACAACTAAAGTAGAGTCAAGATTTGAAGAGTTGTCCAAACGTTTTCTCTGTGTCCGTGCTTCTTCATGATGAGAGTCAGAAAAAATGTTTTTAGTCAAAGTTAAACTCCAACTCAAATGTGATGTTGCCATGACGACTGCTCTACAAAGATTCACATTGTTGAGCTCCTTTTCTTTATTATAACCTTTAAACATTCTGTAATCTGAGTCTCAAACAGCCCCGTGAACATTTAGAATGTTTGATTGTTTAAAGAACATTTTTCCTTTTTGTGTTTTCAGAACCAGAGGAGTCTTAAGACTTGTATAAAAGAAAACTCTGTGCAGAACCACGACGACTCTCCAGATGTTTCTAACATTATTCATCACTGTGTGAACATCTGTCTGATAACACTAAAGGGGTTTAAAAAAGACACAAAAAGGACTCAGAGATTACCGTAACATCTGGTGTATAGACGCACTTTTAATACCTATTGTTTCATCTTTATACACCGGTGGGACCAACATAGCAGTATAAAATAGTGAAACACGTCATTACAGCGTGTGCAGCAGCCACCATCACACACTGCGCTCGACCTGACGTCATTAAAAACACATCCCCGTTCAGTGTGTATTGAAAGCTGGTTGCACGCTGTGTTGGGAAAGACAGCGACACAGACCAGTCCGTCTGAGCGACTTTTTCACATCTTTACTCCCTCATGAGGTCATAATCAGGACTTTACAGAAAACGGTGGTTTATGGTTCTGTAAATAAACCGTGTGGAGTGTTTTGATTGAAAGAGTCCTATATTCAAGTTAAAGAGTGACCAGCGGAGTCGGGCAGAGAGCTCGGGGTCTGTGCTTCACCACTTTCCCTGCAGGCTGAGAACTCGAGTACCGTACTGTAGCTAGTAGAAGAGCAAACTCCACAAAGAGAAAACAGACAGAACTAAAAGAGTGACACACAAACTGCACGCTGTAGACTTCACTGAACACGATAGAAATCATCACACAGGAAGACAGTTTAAACTTTGTTTCTCTCTGAGAGACCTTCAAAAACAGACAGCGTCTTATATACCAGATGTTACTGTAGATCAGGATCATAAAGTTGTGCAAAAAAGAAACAAATTGGTGAATCAAAACTGATCAGAATGTGTTTTTAAAATATAAATGATGAGATATGGTGTGTCTCTGTCTGTGTGTGTGTCCGATGTGATCCGATGTTTCCACAGCAACGATAAACATGGTGGTGACACAATGTTATCGCTTTGATAACTGTTGGAAATATTTAAGGTAATGTAAGAACTCAACAACAAATATATATATATATATGTATATATATATATATATAACAAGTTTAGTCAATTTTAATTAATTTAGATATTTTAGTGTAAAAATTAAATTCTTCATGTTGCACCTTTAAGAAGCAAAGAAAAACCTAAAGGTAAAATTACTGTTAGAGCACTTCAATAAGAAGTGTCAGGAAAATAAACTTAAAGTATAAAAAAGTTTATTATTTAATGTTTATTTTCTGTTTTCTAAGAGTCAGTTTTATAAATGTTGAATAATTATCAGTAAACAGTGGTGAGATGAAGTCCAGATGTGATGTGTGTAAAGATCCAGATGTTGACGAGCAGGAGGTGAAGATGGTCCTTTGGGTGCTCAGAGTGTGCTCACATGTAAACAGTGTGAAGTGGATTCAAAGTTTGTCGGTGCTGATGAGCAGCTCGTCTCTGAAACTTTTTGTTTCAGTTTCAGATTCTATTGTTGGATGGATTGTTGTTGTTGCTGCTGCTGCTGCTGCTGTCATCGTCACTCTTAGCGTTTTCATCCTCCTAGCTGCTCTCTTTATCACAGGTCGTGAAGGTAAGTTAAAGAACATAAAGTCTACCTGTGTGTCTCTCTTTAAGAGTCTTGTCAGTATCTCCTCAGTCTTCAGTCTGTTTTTCACTCTCTCAGTCAGATCATCTATACACATGTTTCCTTATTGGATATCACTTAATGATGCTGCAGTGGAGCAGACTTCAATCAAACTTCACATTTCTGTTTCAGTTCTCTGTACAATTTGTTTTGGGTTAGTCCTAGCAGTTCTTTTTGTCACTGAAAGAAAGGTTGTAAAAATGATTTTATCAACATGTTTACATTAAGAAGACACAAATCTCTTTTTGAATCCTGCCATTTTGAATTTATTAAGTAGGATAGCGCCTTGAGATGTATCTTCTCATTTTCAAGAGGGTCCTAAACTCAGATTAAGATCGATCAGTTGGAATTTTCTTGAATGTAACTTTGACTCTGATTCTTTCCTGCTTCCGGCGCTGTGTGAGGTGGCCGCCTGTTGCAGCAGCTCCCGTCGTCCCTGTTGTTATATCGTATTTTTTGATGAGTTATTATTTGTTTTCACTGTGTGGTTTTTTTTTTAAAGATACATTTTTGGCCTTTTTGTGCCTTTAATGGTGCCCACTACCTACCCACTGTTCAACAATATGTTAACTGTCCAACTAGAGAAAAGAAAACACTGGACCTTCTGTATGCTAACGTTAAGGAAGCATACAGTACCACTGCCCCTCCCCCCCTGGGCAGATCAGACCACAACCTGGTCCTACTGACACCAGAGTACATCCCCCTGGTCCAAAGGCAGCCTGTGACCACAAGGACTGTTAGGAGGTGGACACAGGAGAGCAATGAGGCACTGCAGGACTGCTTTGAGTCCACAGACTGGGATGTACTCTGTGAGCCACATGGAGAGGACATTAACAGCATGACTGACTGCATCACAGAATACATTCAATTCTGTGAAAACACTGCTCTACCGGCCCGGACTGTACGCTGTTTTCCTAACAACAAACCCTGGATCACCAGTGACCTGAAAGCCCTTCTCAACAAAAAGAAACAAGCCTTCAGGTCTGGAAACAGGGAGGAGCTGAGGAGGATACAGTACGATCTGAGGGAAAAGCTGAGGGAGTGTATGGACTCATACAGGAGAAAGATGGAGGCCAAACTCCATCAGAACAACGTGAGGGATGTGTGGACTGGAATGAGGGAAATCACTGGATTCAAGGGGAGACAAAGACAACACTCTGGCAGCCTGGAGAGGGCCAATGAGCTAAACCTGTTCTTCAACAGGTTTAGTGCACAGCCTTCATCTGCCCCTCCCACCTCAAACAACACCCCCCATGGTGAACTCTTTGGACTCTGGCCCTGCACCACAGGAATGCACTCCCTGCTCTGAGGTGAATTGCTCGATCCCCCCTCTGACTCTAACAACTGGCCAGGTGAAGAGACAGCTGGAGAAACTAAACATCAGTAAGGCTCCAGGCCCGGACGGCATCAGCCCAAAGGTTCTGAAGACCTGCGCCAGCCAGCTGTCTGAGATTCTGCAACACCTCTTCAACCTGAGTCTGAGCCAGGAGAGGATACCGGTGCGGTGGAAAACGTCCTGCTTGGTCCCGGTCCCAAAGAAGACGACACCATCTGACCTCAAGGACTATCAACCAGTGGCTCTCACATCTCATGTGATGAAAGTGTTGGAGAGGCTCATCTTGACCCACCTCAGGCTGCAGGTGAAACCATCCCTTGACCGTTTACAATTTGCCTACCAGCCACACCTGGGTGTGGACGATGCCATCATCTACCTGCTGCAGCGTGCTCACTCACATCTGGAGGGAAACGGCTGCACTGTGAGAATCACCTTTTTGGATTTCTCCAGTGCATTCAACACCATCCAGCCACAACTGCTGGAAGAGAAGCTGCAGTTGATGGGTGTGGACTCATCCATCACCTCCTGGATTACTGACTACCTGACAGACAGACCACAGTTTGTCTGACTTGGCAGTGTTCAGTCTGGAATGGTGGAGAGTAGTACAGGAGCTCCACAGGGGACTGTGCTGTCTCCTTTCCTTTTCACCTTGTACACCTCTGACTTTCAGTACAACTCCAGGTCATGCCACTTGCAGAAGTTTTCTGATGACTCTGCAGTGGTTGGGTGTATAAGTGATGGGCAAGTGGGGGAGTACAGAGAGCTGGTGGATAACTTTGTGGAGTGGACAGGAAGAAATCACCTGATTCTGAATGTGGATAAGACCAGGGAGATGGTGATTGTTGCCAGTGCGCTGTTCTCTGCTGTGGTCTGCTGGGGGAGCAGCATTGGAGCTGGTGACACTAAGAGACTGGACAAACTCATTAAGAAGGCCTGCTCTGTGATAGGCTGCAAGCTGGACTCTTTTGTAGTGGTGACAGAGAGGAGGACTCTGAACAAACTGTTATCCATTATGGATAATCCTGATCACCCTCTGCACACCCTACTGGACAAACAGCGGAGCAGCTTCTCCAACAGACTGATCCAACTCTGCTGTCACAAGGACAGATACAAGAAATCCTTCTTCTCGAAGGCCAGAACTCTGTACAACAGCTCACCTCATGTGAGCAGAGAACTGTCATCATGATCATATCTCTCTCTCCACACTGTCATCTGTTCTGCACATGCAAAGTTTACAACTTATCACTGCACTCAAGTTCACTTCATTTGTCATTATATTTAATAGTTTCAGCTGATAACATGTCTACACTCCTGCACTTTAACATTTGTATCATTGACTTGCACAGCTCTGGACTGCTCTCTATATCAATAATGCAAAAAAACTTACTGCAAAGAGCCACATGATACACACAGGCACACATGAACAGCCCCCTGTCCCTTCACCTCTCTTTAGCTCTCTGCCTCACTCTCGTCCTCCTCCTCCACGTTCTTCTCTATTTCTCTCTCAAACACACAGATTTAAAATTAAAAAATAACAATAGCCTTGACACTCAGACACACACAGACAGAAACACACACAGACACACACACCCTCACACAGACAGAAACACACACACACACACACACACACACACCCTCACACAGACAGAAACACACACAGACACACAGACACAAACACACACACACACACACACACACACACACACACACACCCTCACACAGACAGAAACACACAGACAGAAACACACACAGACACACACACACACACACACAGACAGAAACACACACACACACACACACACACACACACACACAGACACACACACACACACACACACACACACACACACACACACACACACACACACAGAAACACACACACCCTCACACAGACAGAAACACACACACACCCTCACACAGACAGAAACACACACACACCCTCACACAGAAAGAGAGACACACACACCCTCACGCAGAGACACACACACACACACACCCTCACACAGACAGAAACACACACACACGCACACGCACAGAGACACACACACGGACACACACAGAGACACACACGCAAATACACACACAGAGAAACACACACGCACAGAGACACACGCACAGAGACACACACACACACACACACAGAGACACACACACACACACACACACACACACACACACACACACACAGACACACACACACAGAGACACACACACACACACACACACACACACACACACACACACATAGAGAAACACAGAGACACACACAGACAAACAGACACACACACACACAGAGACACACACAGAGACACACACAGACACACACGCACAGAGACACACACACGCAAACACACACACACAGAGAAACACACACACGCACAGAGACACACGCACACACACACACACACACGCACAGAGACACACACACACAGAGACACACACGCACAGAGACACACACACACGCACAGAGACACACACACGCACACACACACACACAGAGACACACACAGAGACACACACACACACACACAGAGAGAC